GGGAGGTCAAGCCCACTCAAGGGTGACCAAGGTTAGGCACCTATCATGAATCTAGGGTCCGCCCTTCTTGTCACATGTATCCCCTTAGTCCCTCCCCTTCCTACTGCCTGCACACCCCTAGCTCCTCCCCTTCCTGTGACGTGTGTGGTTACCTGTAATCACTCTACCTTAGTAGATATAAGCCTTGGTTAGGGATAAAGAAAGGCTCTCTCCTGCGCTCCCCACCTCCCCTCGCTCTCCTGCCCTTGGCCCACGCTGTGTGCGGACCTGGCTGGTAAGATCATGGCCATCCAGGAGGTGAGCATGGTACCATGAATTGTGTCTGACTTCTTTATTTGACTCTCGCTCCTATTTCGTTATGACTTTATTATCATCTTTATATGTATCTTAACCATACAATTGTGCTTACTGGACCCGTGGTTAGTTGTGGGGGCTGGCCCTCCCCCCACCCGGCGCTATGAAACCCATAGGAAGTCAGTACTGTTACACCACTCACACGAAGAAGACGAGGCACAGGCAGAGAGCGAGCAGGGTCGCGATGCCAACTCCCCAGGCGACGCCCTTCACGACTCCTGACCAGGGACTAGGTTTCCCTGCAAACAAATGACATTTTGGGTGAGCCCCAGTCCTCCCGATCAGACATGTGAACACACCAACAACCAAATCCAAACCCACTGTCATCCAGTCTGTTCCCACCCTGAGTGACTGTCAGACAGGGCAGACCCGCTCCTTCGGGCTGCTGGGACTGTACTTAATGCCACTGCACATTTTGTTACAACATATTACTTTATCTTCTTGAGCTGTGCTTGGACATTTTCTGCTTAGCTCTGTGACCTCAATTCTTCCATTTGTTTTAGCTACTGTACCTTCAAGAGCAAGTGTGTTAGTCTGGGTTGACTAGACCAGCGGTTCGCAACCTGAAGTTCGCCACCCCTTTGGGTGTCAAATGATCCTTTCACAGAGGTCGCCAGAATCTTATCAGTAGCAAAATTACAGCTATGAAATAGCAACAAAAATAATTTTATGGTGGGGGGTTCACCACAACATGAGGAACTGTATGAAAGGGTCACAGCATTAGGAAGGTTGAGAACCACTGGACTAGTGAAAAAAAATCTGAGGATACTCATATGTGGGTGAGAAAGAGCTTTATATCAAAGAGCAATTGTATATTGAGAAAACATCCCAGCCTAGTCCATATCAAGTCCATAAGTCCAATATTAGCTCACAGTAGTCTGTAAATTCCTCTTCAGACTCATGCAACACATGCAACAACGTTGAATGCCTGAAGATCCCTGGCCAGAAGGTTAAAAGTCTTGTGGATCCAGTGGCAGTGGAAGCATCTCAGCGCTGGCTCCTCCAGGTCCAAGTCTCTGGCTGCCATCAGCATAGCTCCATGGAGCTTGTCAACTGGAATGTCTGGCAGGAAGAGAGTGTGTGTCCCACCTCCAGTGAGCTTTTTATCTTCATAGCACCTCCAAATGAGGTCATCAAGCTGCGACCTGATTGACAAGCTAGACTCCACCCCTTGGAAAGTTGACAGGAGATGATGTCACTGCCACAGCAAGTGTCAGAGTCTCTTCTGACATCCATGTTGATCTTTTCTTTCTTTCGGTCTTCTAAAATCTCCTTTTCCTTTCTTCATGCAGGGTGCTCTGATGTCCTCCCACAGCTCGTCAGATCTTCTGCCATCAGTTTTCAACGAGTCAAATGTCATCTTGAGATGTTGCCATCATTCAGTTGGGATGCACTCACAGTTATACTTT